CGGCCGCCAGTCTCTACGGAGACTAGCGATCTGCGCAAGACAGGATTATAGTGGCCATGTGTATGCGGAAGCACAGATTCACTCTCTGTCCCTCACTTTCATAGTCCGATGGGACGGTAACTCGACACGACCGGAGAGAGATCAGGCGCATTACCAACGGCTTTTGGTGCTTTCTATGGCACGGAGCTGAAACACCACCGAATTCATGACTGCTGGCTGCTACTGAGAATTTCTTCACAGAAAAACCTAATAACTGATTTTGGCCCGAACCGGGAATCGAACCCGGGTCACAAGAACAACGAGGCAGTCGCAACACGTATAATGTGCATATTGATTGATGAAAATATGGGAAAAGGGTGTTTAAGTGATATTAACTTAGAGTCCTAGGAAGAAAAGGGTAAGGGAAATGAGGGTGTGGTATAATTTGATTGATGGCTGATTTTGCAATCGTCACATCAAAGTTATCTATATTTCTTCTATTTATTATCTATATTTTTAGACATGAGCAAAGCATTTCTCCATGAATGCCACAAATTTTTACTCAAAAAGCTCGAAAAATACGATGTGAAATGGAAAGCACCAGACTGGATAAAGAGCTATTTATCAAATTGCAAACAACGTACGAAAATCGATAAAAGAATTAACAACACGAAAATTACTTTAAATTCTTCGCTAATAAATAATAATTGCGGTACACTACAAGCATCGGTTCTTGCTCCGTTACTCTTCTTGCTTTACATAAACAACTTACCAAAGGCAATTGATTAAGAGTGCAAATTATTCGCTGATGATACAAAGCTAAATATAGAAAGTTAAAATAAAAATTAAATGCAATCATTAGCCACAGAACAGTTTAAAAAAGTTAAAAAATAAAAGTTCATAAAACTAAAATAATTAAATTTACACCATGTAAGTATACCTAAAACTGTCGAGAACGTGGTCCTTCACTGCTGGCCGGATTAGGAAGCTCAAGGTCACTCAGCGAGCTATGGAGAGGGCTATGCTCGGAGTTTCTCTGCGTGATAAACTTAGAAATGAGGATATCCGTAGTAGAACCAGAGTGACCGAAATAGCCCAACGGATTAGTAAGCAAAAGTGGCAATGGACCGGCTATATAGCTCAAAGAACCGACAACCGATGGGGAAAAAAGGTTCTCGAGTGGCGGCCTCATACCGGCGGACGAAGTGTAAAGCGTCACCCCACAAGATGGAGTGACGACCTGGTAAGACATGCAGGAAGTCGATGGATGCGGGATGCTCAGGACCGTGTTTTGTGGCGTTCCTTGGGGTAGGCCTATGTTCAGTAGTGGACTTGTGAAGGGCTGTAATGATGATGATGATGATGATGATGAAGGATACCTATAGCAATAATAATAAAAATAATATCATGAACGAAATTGAACCAAATCAAATCATGACTTGAATTTTAACCAGTAAATTCAACCAATTTTTTAGGCATAATTCTAGACAAAAATTTAAATTGAAAAAATCATATTGTAAAATTAATAAATGAATTAGACACATTCGTTTTTGCTTTGTGACGTTTAAGATTTATAGCTTCTTAGGAAATAATGGAATTGTGCAAAAATAATGTATTGTTACGGGATAAGATTTCGCTGTGAAGGTCACCTGAATGGTTTTGTCTTATCTTTGACAGCAGAGTCTTTGAGTTGTTATGTAATTTTTAGGTGTCTTTAACTTTACATCTCCTATTAAAGCTTGTTGTTGAAGCTTTATTATTTAAACACAATGTATATAATGTTAAGTTTGACAACAAATTGCAAGAATGAAATTAAAAAATTGCTTACTCTGAATTAATGAAATCTCGTCCCACTTCAACCAATGTATAATGGTACCTGGGCGCCCTAGCTTTTCTTGATGTTGGGAAAAATAATTTTGTCAGGGTCACTGTGAAAGACGGACGAACAAAAACTTCACGTCACTGAAATGTAAATGTTACGTTGGTCAGGAGGAGTTTCTAAAATGGATAGAATAAGAAACTGTTATATCCGTGGTAGTTTCAAGGTTGCTATGGTGCACGAGAAGCTTAGAGAAAACCGTATGCGTTGGTACGGACACGTGATGAGACGAGATTGATAGCCATGTTACTAAAAAAGTTATGAACATAGAAGAGGGGAAGAAAGGCCGTGGACGACCACCAATAACCTGGCTGCAAACAATAAAAAACGACCTGAAATCTACTAACATGCCAGAAACGACTACCCACAATCGCACGATGTGGCGCAAGATTACTAGGAGGGCTGACCCCAATTAAATTGGGACAATAGCCAGGGAAAAGAAGAAGAAGAAGAAGAAGAAGGTCACTGTGTCAATACATTTTGTACACACAATATCGAAATGGTTAGAGCCGTTTCTAGAAACCAATTACATACCTATACAAAAATTGCCCACTTAACGGACGATAGATAATAGTCAACTACGAGATTAAAATGTAATCTGGTTGATTCTTACAAAGGCCTAATATCCATCTCAAAAGGAGACGGGGATTTCTGGGCCCAATTGTAATAAGTTGAAATATGTTTTAAAAAAAGCGTTATATTTTTCTATTTCAAAATATAATAAAATTAGCCCAATTAACAATCTGGAAGACGAGAAATCTTAAAAATAAGTTTATGTCACGAACAAAGTAAGAAATCAATTACTTTAATCGATTAATGTGAATGAGTTTTAACAATTAAACATAAAAACAACTTACAGTAAATTATTGATTCAATCAAAGTAATAATATAAATTACAATTAACATAGTGTCAACAGTTTAAAAAATAAAATATCAACACAATAAAAATAAATCTTAAAATTGATTCTCGTTAATAGTGCGATTTCTTACTCGTGTTTGTCAACTGTATTTTTAATCTGTGCTGACAGTGACAGCTCCTGTCTGACTCAATCCAAAGAGAATATAATCACTACGTTTAAGAGGCGGGACTTCCATAGTAAAAGTAAATGCATGAAAGTCATAGACATCCTCTATCTACGATGAAAGTACGCCAAGCTACTCTACCAACAACAAGATATGACATTTAGTTTTGACATACAGTGCCGACGACATTGACGAATTACAATAGTGCTGTAAATGTCTATCCTCGAATAATTTTATCGATATAACCTTTATCGATATATTGTTTATCGATATTTTTACATAATAAAAGATCTCTATACTGAATTATTTCTGAGAAATAAATTTTTTAACGTGGGGTTTGAGTAAAAATCCGATGGGGATGAGAAATCAATGTATTTTACATACAGCAATTTGTAATTATATCTCTACAATTAGGTACAAAAATATGTATAAAGAAAATCTATACAAATAAATAAAATTGAAGTGTCTGTTTGTAATGTCAAAATTACAGTTTTTTACTAAATGCACATGAAAGTAAATACGGTACCTATAACTAAAATACAATTTTTAAAATTTTTGTCTGTCTGTCTGTCTGTCTGTCTGTTTGTTCCGGGTAATCTCCGAAATGGCTGGACCGATTTTGACGGGACTTTCACTGGCAGATAGCTGATTTCATAAGGAGTAACTTAGGCTACTCTTATTTTAGAACAAGAATTAGGGTTCCGCGCAAAAACATAAAAACCCTAACACGCGAACGAAGTCGCGGGGAACAGCTAGTATAAAATAAAAAACGCACTATTATACTAGTAATTAATTAAGTTATTAATAAGTTATTATACTAGTAATTAATTTTAAAAAATGACGACTCCGTAGCGCAGTGGCTAAGCGTTTGGCTGCAGCATTGCAGGACTGAGGGTTCGTTCCCGCACTGAGAGCAAGTGTTGCTATGCTGCGTCTGGATGCTTGTTTTCAACGTTAGTTTTTTTAAAGGGTAAAAATATTGGGTTTTTAACACTGATTGGATTAAATTGCTTTTATGTGTAACAAATACTATGTACAAATCGCTATGCTTCTTCACAGAGGTACCTATGTACATACTATTCGCAGACATCGTTTACTAACTGTCGCTTTCAAAATTAGTGCTCATTATAGCTAAGATGCTAGATGAATCTATAAAAAAATTATTTATAATCAGGTAATTACAAACAACTTTCGAGTTTATTTATATAATCGAATTCTTACCAAAATGTGACTTTAGAGGGATATTATCTTTTGCTACATGTAAATGAAACCTAATTAACATACACATAATTTTGGAAGTTTAAATTAAGGTTTAAATACAATGTTTGTACAAATATGTTTTAACATGTGAATCTTTTCAATTGGTGCATGTGCCAGCTATTTCACCCATTGCTTGCATCTGAAAAAATAATATAAATAAAATCACATTTTTATTGATCAAATAGAATGTTAGCAGTCACAATTGACTGTGTAGTTTCTAAGTTCGTTTCGGATTGCCATACCATCGAACTATCAGATTTAGGAAATAGTGTATTTGTATTTGTGCACACAATCGTACACTATAAAAACCTGTCCTACGTAGATGACTAGTCCAAAAATGTACTCGCCTTAAATATCATATTGCTATTAAAGTTGAAATCACCACATACCTTTCATCATCTAAGGGTAATATTGCTAAAAATATCCTTTTCTTGTTATCATTTTTTCCGCTTCTTGCACCATTTAATTGGAAAGTTTTATAATGAATATTTAATTTCTTAACAATTTTGTAAATTAACAACGGTTCTTATAGCAAAATTAAAAGCAATCTTAATAAATAAAATATATACAAACATAATTGTTTGGTTTGACATTTGAACCTATTTGATTTGACAAGGTCGTTAATAGACATATTACGAAAAGCAGAAAGAAGAGATAATCGTCATTTAAATTTGACCCCTGTAGTACATATAATTTTTACTATGGAAGTTGCACCAGCCTGACTCAATCTATGATCACTCGTCTCGTATCGTTCAGTACGTGTGCGTTTTGAGTGTTTCTGTGTTTCCCGTTGTTTTATTGATTTATATTCCTTGACCACTGCTTTCTTTCTACGGACTTCTGATCTTACTTAACTTGTATGACCTTTGCTATCATACCGGACACCAATAATCTCGTTTACCCTTTTGACTTTGGCTCGTTATTGTGGATTTTACGGCCTGGACTTTATCGATTGGATATTTACATAAAGGATCGCCGTGTGAATTGTGGCATAGCAACTAGTCGCTGTAATACACTTCGTCGACGATCCTTAGATAATGAAACGACATTGGCAGTGATTCGCCAACGGCGTGCTCAACATCCTGTAAGTAAACTAAGAACCTATTCACCTTTTATTTCTTAGCTACCCAGCTTCTTCTGCGCTGACCTACGGATTTCTTCCTATGTTTTCCATAACCGTTATGCAGGGGCTACACTAACGAGTAATGTAGATAACGCGTTATTGGATACTAAATAACAGTTTTGAGAGGTATAATTTCCGATTATCCTTTCTTAGGCTTCGTTATAAAAGAAACCTATTAAAAAAATCATGCTTGTAGCTACAGTAGTTTAGGTTCTGCGTTATAATTAATAGCGCGAAACTCTTTAATAATTAATAGCGCTAAACTTTAGTGTAGCCCTGCATTATACTTACAAGTAAAGTATAGGTACTTAAACATATAAAAGGCACATGAAGATTGTTTACGTTTAACTAAAAAACTAAACTGACGGTATATTCTACAGTAATTATGATTTACTAGCTGTCACCCGCGGCTTCACCCGCATGGTCACTGGGAAATGAGCTATCCATTGCTTTTTTAATTGAGTTTTATAGATTTGTCAGAGATGCAGCCATTAAAAGGAAACTGAGCAAAATTGATTCGTCAGCCTATTTAAATGTTTTGAAACGCAGCGTATAGGAAAGCATGAAAATAGCCTGTTTATTCCAAATGGAAATGGGATATTTTTTTAATTAAAGGAAACTGAGCATAACTATCCGTCAGGGATGGAGACTTTTGAAAAGAAACTAAGCTAAATTGATTCGTCAGAGATGCAGTTTTCTGAATAGAAAGGAAACTGAGCCAAATTAAAGATCCGTCAGAGATGCAGCCTTTTGAGTTGAAAGGAAACTGAGCTTAATAGGTCCGTCAGAGGTGCAGCATTTGGAATTGAAAAGAAACTGAGCTAAATTGGAAATTTTAAATTGAAAGGGAAGATCTGTGGGAATTCTGATTAATTGATTGTGGGAATTTTGGAAAAAAAACTAACTGAACACTATTTTAAGACGCTACTGTACACAATGTTACAGGTTTTTCGATTCGGGGAAAGAATGTGGAGATTCTGGGCATTTGACACACGCGAACATGCTACATACAGCTGACCATGAGAGAAGCACGGTTTTTCTAAGTTGACCCCCGCTACCTGTAACGTTTGCCCTTGCGCTTTATTAATTGTCATTGCAAAACTGAGCGTAATAGGGAACTGCAACCTTTTGAATTGAAAAGGAAGATCTGTGGGAATTATAGGGATCCGTGGTATAATTACATTTTCACCTTTTCCTACGCCTGTCAAAATTGTAGCACCGATTATGTTCCGTCCAAGATGTGTCACACGCAGCCTTGTCCCGTTACATAACCGAGGAGCATCTAAATTTCGCATTAGCATGACTGGGATGCCTAATTTTAATTGAAGCTTATGTGAGGGCACACCTGACAACTCTAGAGAATTTAGAAACTCTACGGGATATGTAGTGCTCTGTTCTGTGTCCATAACTGTGTCTACTGACAAATACTCTGTTATTTCTCCTGCTACTTCGCTTAATATATCTGAATTTATTTTGTTAACGCTCTCATTTTTTGGTGCAAGAATCGCCTTTCACATAACCATTTGTCCTCATGCATGTTGTTCGTTAAATCTGAATAAACGCACGCAATTAATTCGGAATGACTCTGTACTAAATTACAAAAATCTCTCGTCAATTTAACGCAGCCCTCAGCATCCGTTTCCAACCGCCCATCGCCAATTTTTAATAGTGTGTCAGCATAGTTTCCAGCATTCATATCATTATACAAATGCACTCTCATATTCGTTGTTAAACTGAATTTTGTCACCTTGTTCCATAAAATAGACGACTTGAGGCATGCTTTAATTTCATCTGCAGGTGTGCCCTTTTGAATGACAGGTAAAGTTTGGCGAAAGTCACCAGCCAGTAAAACCACCATTCCTCCCATTACATCGGTATTGCTGTGCAAATCCTGGAGCGTTCGATTTAGTGCTTCTACAGCTTCTTTATGCGACATTGTACTTTCGTCCCACACTAAAAGTATGCATTTTCGTAGCATTATACCTCGTGCACTATTTTTGCTAAATTTGCAGATCGGCGATTCTTCCTGGGCTAGATTTAGAGGGAATTTTAAAACAGAATGTGCAGTGCGGCCCCCGCTTAGCAGCGTGGCGGCTATACCAGAGGAAGCTACGGCCACAGCAATGTTTTTATCGTTCCGTACTTGCGCTAATAATAAATTTAACAAAAATGTCTTCCCAGTTCCTCCAGGGTCATCTAAAAAGAAAAGTGCACCATTTCCAGATTCAATTTGTCCTAATACTTTGTCAAAAACTCGTTTTGTTTTTGTTCGGGAAGCAAGAGGGGTACAAATTCGGCTACTTGCTGCTGCAAAGCTGGTATATCGTAGTTTGTTTCACGTATAATTTCATCACTTAGTTCATTTTCGGTTGTTCGCTGAGAGCTTATCATTCCAAAGTCGCTTAATTTTTTGCCTACCATTGCCATTACTTTATCTTCAATTTTTCCAAGTGCTTCATTATAAATGTGTTCATTGTATGTCATGTTCGCGTGTGTCTGCGGCGGAAGATACCTTGGCTGGTGACTGGCACTGCACAGCTTCCTCCATGGTTTCATCCCATTTATTAAATTATCGATTTCTAAAAGATGCAAAGCTTCACATGCTTCTCTATAAGTTGCGCATTCCTGACCGTTGACAGTTTTAAGGTCTTTATATCCTGTAGGACCCCGAACATGGTGCAGCAGCAATCGTAAACAGAAACATTCAAAATTAGTAACATGGACGGCATACACACTACCAAGGGCATCTGATGACTTTACACCGGGCCAATTTGCAACAGGCGCGCCTTGAATACGGCGTTTCCACTCCTTCCTAGATGTGTTTCAAGTATAATAGCGGGGGACTTCAGAATATAACAACGTTTTTGCAAAGGGGTCGGTTTGACAAAGTTAAAAGAAGGCTGTTAGTGTAGTTTTTGGCGGTGATGCAATTCTTTCTTGGAAATTTCTTTCGGTGAAATATACACGCTCTCCATTTTCTAAGTGCACAGCAAGGTGAGTAACTGTTGAGTGCCTTTCGTGTAAAGGGAAGCCAAGGAGACGCCACGCTGCCTCGTTACTGCTGACATAACGCCCTGCTTGAAAAGTCTGTACTTCATTAACGGGATTTGCCTCACCTTCACTCCTGAGATTAAATATTGCTTGGTCGCTTCCTTTATTTATGTACTTACAGATATACTTGATTGCTCGGACAGAGCTGCATGCTTCTACATTAATGTGGGCATTAAACATTTTACATAGAATGGGCGAATACGGGACAATCCAGCTGTTATCTAAGGTTTCAAACGCTCCAGAACGAAATTTGATTGTAACTTTCCTGCCACCATCTTCGGAAGCTCTGCGTCTGTATTATTAGCCATTGTCATTGTGCACTGTTTCTTTTAATAGCTGTTCAGGGAATTTCTTTGTACATTTTCCTTCTTTCATACATGGCGATATTGAATTTAGTGCTCCACATGAACCGTGAATCATATTTCGGACGATGGTATCATACAATTCTTTATCTTGCTCAGGATCCGGAATCTCGGCGCTTATTATGTCGTCTATTTGGCTGGGCCGCAACTTCTCTTTAAGCCATATTAGAATGTGGGCATGCGGTAATCATCTTTTTTGCCATTCAATTGAATACATGAAGCACTGCACCTCTCCGAAAATTTTCCCTTTGTTAATTGCATACATTAATTTTTGTACTTTTAATCTAAATACTCTAGCAACTAAATCGTGTCTGTCAGTACTTTTTTGGCCCGGCATTAGCTCCTTGGTTATTTCTTTCCATGTGGGATTGCAAGTAAAAGTAACAAAAAGATCAGGTCTTCCGTAAGTTCGTATATAGGCGAATGCGTCTTGTGTGTACTCATGTAGGTAGCGGGGACTGTTAACGAATGATGAGGGCAGAATCACCATTTTAGCTAAATCTCTGGGGTTTACATTGGCGTAGCTAGAAACTGCATCTTGTAAATGTATATAATTGTCAACGCGCAGCTTTTTTTAATTTAAAGATATATAACGGAGACGTTCACTTTCTACCTTCACATACATGTCTACCAAACATTGATGAAATAATTGTCTACACCGGGCTAAGAGTTTAAAATCATTTTCTCGCAACATCATATGATACGCATAAAAATTCATACATGATACTTTTTTGTTCGGAGTAGGCTCCTTTGTGACCGGGTTAATAAGTGGAATTAGAAAATGATAATCCTCTTGTCCTTTGCAATAAATCAATGGGTATTGCAGAGCGTCATAAAACTTGTGTTTATCGGCTACCCGTTGCAACGTATCATCACGTGCTCGCAAGACAATGTCTCATGAAGAAAATTGATCACCGCTAATTACGGCTGCTATTTCGTTTATCAAAGGTGCATTGTAGCGCCTTTCATGCTCTCCTCAACGGGTCCGATCTGCGTGAATGACGACTTTAGAATCCTCTTCAGGTAGGTTTTCTAAAGCAGTTTTAAATGTTTTGACTAAAATGTTACGTTCATGCAAGAATCTTTGAATTTTGAATACTGTGTCTCTCTCAACTCCCAGGATAAATTGGCAGCGACGGTCTACCTCAATTTCTTCGTCACCCATAAAATATACTTGTAAAAATTTATGCTGTTCGTTTTCAGCTGGAAAAAGTGAACCTATTCTATGATAAATTTGCCCTTACACTGTAAATGTAGGCGAAAATCCCGGCATTATTATTTCCCGGTCTAACTTGGAAGGACGTCATTTGAAAGCATGAGTTATATTTCCGGATCCTGTTTAAAAAGCGCCGTGACTCATTAGCATCATATAAAAGATAGTTTTCAAAGGTTCTTCTGGTTCCCCAAGTAACGGAAGAGACACTTTGCCATTGGAACAGCACATGCCTGCGGTCTCATCTTTCCATTTTAAAGCGCTGCAAAATCGACACGCATTGTCCATCAGTCCGATAACAACTAATCTGTGATTTTTATAATCAATCAACGGGTCATAATTGAATGCTGCGTCATTAAAAACCGACCAATTGTTTCTTTAAAAATTTTGTCGACGTTCAGCTTGGAGCTGTGCATTTGCATCTCTTCGCGCCTGTGTCTGTTCTGGTGTTTCAGATGCCCTTATAGTAGATTGACGTTCAGCTTGCTCAATGAGACTGTGTTGAGTTTCATCAGGTGTTTCCGCGGCTCTTAATGCGGCCTGACGTTCCGCTTGTTCGAATAGCCTTTGCTGACTTTGAGCAAGTGTTTCAGTAGCTCTTAAACTAGATTGACGCTCTGCCTGTTCAAGACGCCTTTGCTGATTTTGATCAGGTGTTTCAGTAGCTCTTAAAGTAGCTTGACGCTCTGCCTGTTCAAGACGCCTTTGCTGACTTTGAGCAGGTGTTTCAGTAGCTCTTAAAGTAGCTTGACGCTCTGCCTGTTCAAGACGCCTTCGCTGACTTTGAAAAGGTGTTTCAGAAGCTCTTAAAGTAGCTTGACGCTCTGCTGGTTCAATACGCCTTTCCTGATTTTGAGAAGGTGTTCCGGAAGCTCTTAAAGCAGCCTGACGCTGTGTCTGTTCAAGACACCTTTGCTGACGTTGAAAAGGTGTCTCACATGCTCTAAAAGCAGCCTGACGCTCTGCTTGTTCTTGCCTTCTCAGTTCAGCATCTTCTAAAGATTCTAGCGATCGAGCTAACCTTTTCGCTTGTGTTTGAGAAGATACTCTTGAAAGGCCGGACTTACGTTTGCGAGCCATTATGAAGTAACAAAAAACCTATTTATAAAAAAACGTTAAAATACCTAAAAGGAATAACTTTTAAATATTTTTTTAAAAAGCAAATCCAAAATATCTATTAAATATTTTTTTAAATCAAAACAACAAAACCAATTCAGGACACAATACGAATCCGAAAACGATAGCCAAAAAAAATCGAATCAACTTAAACCAAATCACAAAATAAATCGCAGAAAACCGAAATCTAAAGCAGTAGTCAATATAAATATAACCAACGAAAAAAGAAGTAAGTGTATAGGTACCGTATACACTATCTATACTATTAATTTTCCTTTGAAATATGTTAAAAAACCTAAAACAACGAAAACCAATTCACGATTCTAAATAAATAAAATCCAAAATCAAAGCCAGAGTCTAAATATGTATAAAGGAAAGGAATACCAACCAAATCAACAAAACCGTTCCAAGAAAATACACAAATCCGAAAATGAAAGCCAATATAAATCCATTCAACCTTAACCAAATCACAAAGCAAATAACAAACAACCGAAATCGAAAGCAGGTAGTCAAATAAGCTACGAAATAAAAACAATTTAAGCGTATAGGTACCGTATGCACTATAAGTTGACGCGCGACTCAACGGCGGGAGTTAAGTACATGTGAGGAAACATTTTGTTACCGCGTTTTAAAAACCTAGTAACGACATCTAGCGGAATAAATTTAAACTATGTATACGTTAGTTAATAAGAACTCTCAAAAAATATTTTTCTTATAATTTTGCACAATTTTTCTTATTGTAATACCGATTCATTCATAACCACATATAAGAACTGTATTAATTTCCGTTCAATAAATATTACTAAGGCTTATTAATAAGGCTTACTAAGAACTGTTTCTACCACAGTTAAGTAATAGTTAAGGGTGAAAGCGTGACAGGTGATGATAGTATTTCTGATCCATACTTATCATCACGCCTGTAACCCTTGCGGAGTAGGCAGAGCATCAACGGATTACTTAATATCCTCTGCGAGGTTATCGCCTATTCTGTGAATTACAATGCATCAAAACGTTTGAAGAAAATCAGCTGGTGAATTTTATGTTTTTTATCGCTCTCTTCCCGGTCCTGCGTGGAAAAATACAGATCCATACATTTTTTATCTTAATTTTGGTAAAAAGACATAACAATCTAGATACTTTGACCTTCTGTGTTCGTCCATCGTACCGTCGTCCGTCTTGTAGAATCACGGTGGCGCCACCTAGCTGAATTTAATTTTGCAACATATTCGATTTTCCCATGGGAATGAGATGTTTTTCCGCAGACAAAGGTAGCCTATGTCACTCTACAGCCACCGAACTATCCCCATACCAAAATTCATGCCATGCCGACGCTCTGTTGCGACGTGAAAGAAGGACAAACTTTTGCAACATATTCTATTTTCCCAAGGGAATGAGATGTTTTTCCGCGGAAAAAAGTAACCTATGTCACTCTACAGCCACCGAACTATCCCCATACAAAAAATCATGCCATGCCGACGCTCCGTTGCGACGTGAAAGAAGGACAAACAAACAAACACACTTTCACATTTATAATATTAATAATTAAGTATGGATTGACATTAAAAACTTTTCTCATATTTCAGGTAAACAGCAGTGACCATGTTTGCCAAGCTTGCTGGGATTTGGCTCAACAACAATCTGTTGATGAACCACGACAACTTGGCCACCATAATGTTTGTCTCCGCTGTGGTAGTTCTCTTGCATCACGATCTCAATTGAGAATTTGTAATGTTATACAAGAGTGGATTATGCCTCGAACTGCAAGTTGAATCAGTTTACATGTTATTTATAACTACTTTTACAGCAACCCAAATAAGTTTTTAAATACTTATAGGATTATGTATGTTTGTTGCAGGTAGAAGAAGAAAGTCACATATGCCACAATTGTTGGGTGGCTGCAGACAGAGCTGCTATCCATATGGTGTCAGGCCCATCAACTTCTTTCCAAGGAAGTTCCCATGAAGATGTACAGCCACAGGCACAAGATCTTCCTACTGAACCTTCAAATGAAGAAGTTGGAAATAACCAACCCGAACCTACCATTGTGTTACCGGATTATATGAGAGCTATCGAAATGGAAAGAAGGTGCTTTATGGAAGGATGCCAGAAATAAGAGAGGTACAGAGTTCCACTTTCTACGAGAAAAATGTTGCTCAGTCAATATAAATATTATATACCTGAAAATAATCGTCTGTGTGATCGACATTTAGTCATTGAAGCTTGGGATTTTCTAGACAGTTTGAGAACTAATTGTGTACAGACTTTTACTGCTAAACATATACAGGACATGATGTCCTTAAAAGAAGTTGTTGAGATAGGTTTGCTTCATTTTGAGAGTATAGATTATATGGAAGATCATGTTATTCATGCATGGATTGGGTTAAATAAAGCACAGTTCCATCAAATGTTTACTGAAGTACCTCAGTTATTGGAAATACTACTAGCATATCTAGCTTTAGCAGCATACTTAATATAGCTTAGGTCTGGGGATTCTGATGAGAGGTTATCAACTTTATTGAAAGTTTCTAGGCGAACCCTTGAGAAGTGGTTGCACCAAGTGAGGGAACTTCTCGCTGAATATTTTGTGCCAAGACACTTAGGATTAAATCATTTAAATAGGCAACAAATAGTGCAAAGTAATCTTGCAATACCAAATAGATTGTTTGGTAAGTTTGAGGGAGTTGATAGGCCCATTGTAATATTTGATGGAACTTATTGTTACATTGAAAAAAGCTAAAATTACTTATACCAAAAAGAACATACAGTATGCACAAAGATGACAACCTTGTAAAACCGTTTTTAATGGTATGTACTGATGGCTACATAATTGATGTTCTGGGTCCCAATCCAGCTACCACTTCTGATGCTGAAATTATGAATAAAGAATTTTCAAATGATAGACCATTACGGGAATACTTCCTTCAAGGTGATGCTTTTATACTGGATAGGGGCTTTCGTGATTCATTATCCATTCTGCATCGATGTGGATATAGGACTTATGTCTTACGGCTTAGCAATCAGTTGTTGCGCTGGTGGCCGCGGGTTCGAATCCCGCACGGAACAAGTATTTGTATGGCCTACAAATAATTGTTCCGGGTCTGGATGTTTGTCCTTGTGCAATTTATGTTTCTAAACTGCCTCCACGACACGGGCGAAAGTCCTAGTGTGGGGGTAATGTTTTTTTTTTTTTTAAATATGTGCCTGCTTCATTAGAGGAGGGTGAAACACAGCTTTCTACTATTGAAGCAAATAAATCGAGAGCAGTCACCATTTGCCGTTGGGTGGTGGAGGTTGTTAATGGTCTATTCAAAAGAGATTTTAATTTACTACGGCAAAACTATTTTAATGTAGCAAGTAAAAGTTTCATGAGAGATTTTGAGGTGGCTGCTGCTCTTTTAAACACTTTTCATCCTCCTCTAGTTGATCGAGTAGATGCTGGGGATATAATAGAACAAATAAATATGAATATGAATATACAAAATTAATTAGCAGAATTTATTGTAAGAAACAACTATAATAGACGTAGGTCTAATTTTGAAACAATTACTGTACAGAATGATAATTTAAATGATTTTCCCCAGCTTACCGATAGTGAATTAATTCTAATCTAATTAGGGACATATCAAATAAAGCAGGCACGGTCCTACTATGGTGAGCATGTAAGAGGTAATGATGGATTTATAATTGAAGTGTGCAGGGAGGTCAGCAGCAGCCTACTTCGAGAGTTGTCGACTTCTAATTTTTCATGGCTATTAAGAGGACGCATTCAGTCCACACATATAAGCCGAAAAACTTATTTTGTTTACATTTTAGTCTACAGCTCTCGAAGAGGTAGGGAAGCAATACTTCAACATTATTGTAAGTGCATTGTAGGCAGACGAACTGTAGGTTGCTGCGCACATATTATGTCTATAATATGGTACCTTAGTTGGACTAGGTACCAAGATAATATAGTACCACCTGCACAATTCTTAGATGATATTCTAATTATAATTGAAGAGGAATAAAAATAAATTAAAAAAGTGCTTTTTTAAATATCACCTAACCTTCCCTATCTTTCAATCTATTTGTAAGTTTCCTATTATCCTCCCTCCCAATACAATACAATAAATACTACAATTAATATAGTAAACAACTTTATAATAAAACAAAATAGCAATCACACTTCTAAATCAGCTGTTTAGTTTAGGTTGTTGCCAACTTGTCGCATAAATTCACTTTTACTAAATCTCTTATAACTTTGCTCTCCGATTGCCAAAGGCCGCCGAATTTTCAGTGATGTTTTGATAATATATAACCTATTAATTGATATCACTTTCATCTATTTACAATCTGGGCCCAAGAATGTATGAAAGCGTATCAGTCTCCTTTGCCAAATCAAAATAGGATGATTGAGTGAATTTTTGTCAGTTTAATCGCTGATGGAAGGTAATATCATTCACCGATCAAGATGTTCTGTCCGGATAAGTAATAACTCCATGTATAAATGCAGAACTTGTGTTTATATTTCAAAATTGTCCGGAAACTTCATAGCGTGCTTTACGCTTTGGTTGTTGTATGACACCAATTCACCATTGTGGTGCATCAACAACTCCAACACAAATAAAATGCGACTGGCACCGCGATAGCTGATTCACTTGTCAAAGTGGGCACCTTTTTAACCAACCCAGTTCAGCCCAGAAATGTTCGTATAGATTATTTCCTTTAAACTACCAATATTCCCATTGAGTGAAAAACTTAAACAAATTTATGAAATTCTTAGTCTTAACTTAATAAAAGTAAAAGAAAATTATACAACCAGTAAAATTTATTTAAAATCTCTACAAAATACCACAACACAGGAAAAATCAGTCAACAGTAAATACAGCTATCATTTTATTTTCAAATCAGACTAGATAATTATTGTATTCTTATGATCTGGGGATGTGGGCACCGTCGGCCCGGAATCCATTCTCATCGGCGACGTAGGTGACGGTGTAAACGACTCCGTCAGGTGCTGGGTAAGAGTAAGAGCCACGGACTTCAAAAAACTGATTCTCAGGGCCATTGCTCTTTAAGTGACCTTCTGCTGAAGCTACCTTGCCATCGCTAGTTTCGTATCTATAAAAGAAATTTTGTTTATAAATTAGTAGTCGTAGTATTTATATGCATGTAGTTTATACTTAGCAAGAAATTGCTAGACTATAGTTCTACGAGTTAAATTTGTTAGAAAAACTTTATTTTTAGACTTTATCAAAAACAATTTGCTTCTGCTTTTCAATATCAGCCTCACATTTTCAATATCAAGTAATTGATTTTCTCATAATGTAAATGAATCGACAGATTCAACTGGCCTGGGCAACGTTCGGGAGATCACGACACTTCTTCTCGTGAGGCACACCTCAAAACCTCAAAACAAGATTGTACAACCAGTGCGTGTTGCCAGTGATGACCTATGGATCTGAGACATGTTTCTTTACTGCTGGCCGTATGAGGAAGCTCAAGGTTGCTCAGAGAGCTATAAAGAGTGCTATGCTCGGAGTTTCTCTGCATTATAGACTTAACAATGATGATAACCATGGCATGTTTGGTAAGCTGTGGCAACAGGCCGGTCACATAGCTCGAAGAACCGACAACCGGCGGAGAAGAAAGGTTCTCGAGTGGCAGCCTCGTACCGGCAGGCGAAGTGTAGGGCATCTCTCCCCCCCCTACCCCTAAACAGTCTGACCGGCGATGACCAGTAGTGTCTCCCTAATAAAAAAAAACAATTTCAAAAATTTCCTTTTGCCAACTGGCCACGCTAGGGGGGCGTGTCTACCCTCCCATTAGGCAATCTATGTTCAGTAGTGGACTTTTAATGGGCTGTAATGGTAACGGTAACGGTCAAAATTTCGCATCATTATTGCGGCGGATCGTTATCAAACGGTGTTCAACCAGATCTAAAAATAAAATAAAATAATACGACAAAGTTTTGTAAATTTGATGACACCGTCGCGTCGCTATGAACGTTATAGATTGCGCACCTTTTCACTCGCGCTGTTTGAGCTTTAGTTCCTAAAGTAGGATTATTTTTACCATTTATTTTTACGTAAATTCATATTGTGACTGGTCCTCTTGCATACCCCTGATTTTGTAAATGACCTTATAAAATATTGACACCACGGTGGCAGATGCTATGAGAATAATAAGGGCATCCACGAGTTTTTCTGCCACCAGGGCGGCGCCACTTTATAATGAGGTGTAATAATTGACAGATTTCATATCGGGGAAGTTAATTTATTTGAAAAATGTATAGGTTAATGTAAAGGTTAATGTTTCTTCCCGTATATTATTATATTTTATATTATTAATTGGATTAAAAATAAACAAACCAAATCACAGATACTCATAAAAGTAGAAAAATTAAAAAGGGAGTTAAAAATGTGCAAAAAATTAAAGAGCAAACGGCATTGTTTGTGTATTAATATAATGATCTAGAAATTGATAAACATTTATTTAAAATTAACTTCTCAATCAAATGACATTGAGTAATAAAAAACTTTACCTCAGTGTCAACTAGCGACATCTGGTGAGCGGAAGATTACTAGCCCACATTAGTAAGGCCATAACCTGCTGTTTAAAAGATATGATTAAATATTTACCCATAGGAGTAGTCTCCAACACCGATGTTGTCGAGGTTGCTTCTGACGATGGTGGCGTCCCTAGAGTCGATGGGGACGGCGACAGCCGCGGCAACGAACAAGGCAAAAATGATGACCTAGTGCAAAAAAAAATCATTTAATTTTATCGTTCTACATTGTTCACATGTGAAGTTGTATCACGCTTACTTATATTTACTTGTTTGTATGATTGTATATTGTACACCTTATTCATTACGACTGAAATAGTACAATATTAAATTAGGACTTAACAATATTGGGTTTAAAGAAATTTATTGTCTAAAGAAATTACAAAATTTCACTTACAACACTACTTGAAACTATCTAGTGCAACTGTTTTATGAAATGCTTATTAAAAAGCTAAAGCCATTAGCTTTTCTAAATACTGTATAAATAAAATTACATATTAAACTGCAGTAATATTTAAGAAAATAGGAAGAATAAAAATTGTGCACTAGCCTACTAGGACACTTGTTTAAAAACATAACCAAAATTAATAATTAATAACAGCTTATGTTAGTAACAGCCTATATATATATATATATATATATATATATATATATATATATATATATATATAGGCTGTTACTAACATAAGCTGTTATTAATTTTAAAGTATTATATATATATATATATATATATATATATATATATATATATATATATATATATATATATATATATATCTTTAAAAAATTGCATTTATTGCAAATATATACAATTAAGTATAAGCAGCAATTAGTTTCTGTTCCTCGACATTTTCTTAAATTTTGAACAACCTTTCATCTAAGCCTTTCGCTGTCCCGTGTACTACATATAGGTCACTGCTATTGTCTTACTATTGTATGTGAAAACCGAACAGTGAAAGCATTAAAATAGTTTACAACTCGATTAGTACAAACTCGTATATCAATAAAATACACTTACGGATTTCATTTTGATAAGATTGATGTTGGATTTGTATTACGAGAGGATGATTTGCCAAAGACTGTGATTGGAATACGAATTCTGCACATTTATATACCCGCACGTCAGCCTCGTTTGCATATATTTGAATGTTAGTATAGGCAGCAGTGCTTGAACTTTATTCATCCTTTTGGCCGTTATACTTTATTTAACCCTCTCAAAAATGAGAGAGTGGGATGTATAAAACTGTAACTTTACTTTTTAATTTTATATAGTTTTTTAACCATACATTTTATAGTCGCTAGAGTCACGCTACAGCTATATTATAGTTGTAGCACGAATAGGTCAGGTCTCTCACAGAATACCAGCGTAAAATATCAATTTATTGCTGCTGTGTTTCGTATGGTGGTGAGTGTAGAGAACCGGAGACCCTTTTTACTGGAAACGAGGCTAATATGTCTATTTGCCACAGCATCCACTTCCCAACAGGTGGGCTGTGTGCTCGTTTGTCACGCTTATTCACAACAATAAATCTTATTTATCCTTCCATCACTTATCAGTACACGTATTTTATTGTGAAAATAGCGCTAGATTCCATTCACCACAGTAGATAATCCGGCAATATCAAGGTCACTTAATTTGAAAGAGTTTTAACATGACTTTATTAGCTGGTGCTGTATATATTGTACCGTTAGCTTTACCATCTCAACCTATATACACATCATAAAGGACATATTGTTTACTATAGTTGCCATGCTTGGCAGGCGGTTTGGCAACACGTTATAATAATAATGTCCTCCAGACTGAATTTCGACCACGGCCGCCAGTCTTTACGGAGACTAGCGATCTGGGCAGGACAGGATTATACTGGCCATGTGTATGCGCCAGCACAGGTTCAATCTCTATCCCTCACTTTCGTAGACCGATGGGACGGTAACTCGACACGACCGGAGAGAGATCAGGCGCATTACCAACGGCTTTTCTGAGGCACGGAGCTGAAACACCACCGAATTCATGACTCCTGGCTGCTACTGAGAATTTCTTCACAGAAAAACCCAATAACTGATTTTGGCCTGACCCGGGAATCGAACCCGGGACACTAGAACAACGAGGCAGTCGCAACACGTATTAGGTCCATATTGCTTGATGAAATTATGGGCAAATGGTATATAAGCGATATTAACTTAGATTCCTAGGAAGAAAAGGGTAAGGGAAATGAGGGTGTGGTATAATTTGATTGATGGCTGATTTTGCAATCGTCACATCAAAGTAATCCATTAAATAAATTGTAACCTGACTAATTAAAAAATTATATAATGGTAATATTTAATTTAGTGTCGATTTTTCAATCCTGATAAACTTACTTACACACTAAAAGAGTTCCTTAAAATATTTTGATTTGAAGCGAGCAGTTTCTAGACCGTTCTTTGCGTGGTAGAGCCACGTTGCAGCTATATTATGGTTGTAGCGCGAATGGGTTGGCTATTCTATTACACTCACACAGAATACCAGCATGAAATAGCAGCTTTATGCCCTTTTTATTAGAAACGAGGCATTCCATCTTAGTCCTCAGGTGTGACAACGCGTCTACATTTCCATTTGTATCAAGGGTAGATCCCTTTTGGAATAAATAATTAGCCTAGGACCTATATCACTCCTGGTATTGGTTCCTACCTGTTCGTCAAGTTTCATTACAATCGGTTCAGACATTTTGAAGATTAGCCCGTAGTTACTTTAATATGCGTAGTCACTCTGGCGGCCTCTCATCTCAGGCATGCGGCATCAGAGGCAGCTGAACTGAGTAAGTGGCGCAAATATGAGTCTCTGAGAGATGACTACATATTTATGCCATTTGCTGTAGAGACTATCGGTCCGTGGGGTCCACGTGCGGTAAAGTTCCTAAAGGAACTCCATCCGCGACTGGTTGTTGCTGCTGGTTATAAGAGGCTGGATCTTTTCTCGCTCAAAGGCTAAGTATAGCCATTCAGCGGGGAAACGCAGCCAGCGTTCTTGGCACGATACCGCGGGGAGTAGGATTATATGATAATTTAAGTTTCTAGTTTCATTTTTTTTTTATTATTATTATAGTTTTTAATATTGTATATAATAAAAATATACTCTTAAATTAAAAAAAAAACTTCAATATTACAGACAGTAATTTAATTTATATGCATAATAATATCCTCCAGACTGAATTTCTGTCACGGTAAAAGTAAAGTAAAGTAAAGTTGCAGCCTATTTACGTCCCACTGCTGGGCACAGGCCTCGTCTCATTTAAACCCTCACAGAGGGTTTTAGGGCAAGGAAATGTCCGCCGCGCTGCCCCAATGCGTGTTGGCGAACTTCACGTCTTTGAATTTTTTTCTTATTTCTCAGACATGTAGGTTTTCTCACGATGTTTTCCTTCACCGCCGAGCACGTGGTAAATCAGCACTTAAAATTGCAATTAACAATTTCATTGGTGCCGGCGGTGATCGAATCCGGGTTGCTAGCGTACTGGGAAGCTTACGCGTACAGGCCTCTTCTCATTTATGAGAGGGTTCAGGAATAGTTGATCCACAGCGCTGCACCAGTGCTTGCTAACATTCTTTGCAACATATCCTTGGAATCTTTTATTTCTCTGTCGCAAAAGTTTTCTCAAGATATTTTCTTACAACACTAAGCGCGTAGTAAAGAAGCACACGCCAGGAACAAACACAAGCTAGTGGTACTAGTTTTTCGCGCCTACAGAGTCAGTAATTAATTCATGGTGCAATGTATACGCATTACCACAAAGTTCTATAAAATATGCAAGGCCTCTGTGTTACCAAGACTAAATATTTTAATAAACAAAAACTGTTTAAAAAGGGTTATTACATATGAATGAGTATTCATTGTTATTATTAAGCATGTTTATGCTTGATAATATAATAACCCATAAGAATGAGGTGGCCGCTTCGAAGCTGTTTCTAAAATAAATATTGTAATTAGTACAACCTTTCTTATAGCATAGTTTACTTTGAAAAAAAAAAAAACGAGTGTGTGTACTTATGTACGCACGTAGGATGTTATACTTCTTTAGCGGTTCTTTACACTTATAATAATCAACGGAGTAGTTATTGCAGTGCTACACTTTATATATATATATATATATATATATATATATATATATATATATATATATATATATATATGTAAAGAAAATATATTTTCTTTAGTTCAAATAAAGGCCGCGCTGCTAGCGCCAGCGAATATAGTCAGCCTTTTTTTAGTTAGTCTGTGGTCGAATGAATTCCATTATGAAAACTATTGACGTTAGGAATTGATATTGTAATTAATAACATTAAATGTCGTTTCTTTTATTACAGGTAAGGTTTATAATAAATAGAATATTATACTTTGTAATTAGTACTAAACAAACATGTTAACTAACATAAATCTTTTATTACAGAGAAACTCAGTTGTGTTTTGATTTACGATATCATATCACCTAACTGTTGAACAAATATCATTATAAAACGACATTTCTTGTAATTATCAAGAAAATGGAGAAACTAAAATTCGTATTCAGATCAAAAGCTACAAAAGATGGAAAAACAACCTATATCGCCATAACCTCAATCATTACACAAAATGATAAAGTTTTCCTGATCCCTGAGGAGTATGAAGCAGCGTCACTTCACAAATATGTTTACGCCTCTAAGGCTTACAATATAGTGCGAAATACAATAAAGAAAAGACATCAAACTAGAAGTGTTTGGATAAAACTAACACCAGATATGCAAAAAACATACTTTGATGAAGATGAAAACATGATATTTGAGGACCAATACCTAGAGGAAGTTACTGAAGAACAATTGGCTACTATGAACAAAAACAATTCCGAAGATCACATGGTGAAAATTTTGGAAAAATTAGTTGAAAGTCAACAAAGAAAGGAAAAACAAAGCGTAAAAAAATTAGCAGACAGATTTGTACTAGATAAATTTGATGGCAAGAATGTTAGTGCATGTCAGTGGATGGAAGTTTTCGAAAAGGAATGTACAAGATTTGATATAGTACAAGATGAAGAGAAAATTGAAATCCTCAGATTATTTCTAGAAAAATCATGCACTGATTGGTATACTTCCATGATGATTAAGCTAAGTTTGCAATCGGAATGGTCGAAATGGAAATCAAACTTTGTAGAAACCTATGCAAATAAGGGTTGGACTAGTAGTAAATATGCCTTAGCTTTCAAATATCAATCAGGATCTTTATTGGAATATTCCATTAAAAAGGAAAAACTTTTACTTGAAGTAAGAAAGACAATTGATCAAGGGACCTTGA